GTGGTCATGATCTTCCAATATTCCGCGTGTTTCGGCACGGATCCCCGTCTGCTCACTTTAAGGTTTCCGGGCATATTTAATTTGTGCAGCTGTAGCCGTGTAGACGTCAGGAATACGTGATTTCACACCTTCGTTTTAGCATGGAAATCAGTAGCACTCCCAGCCTGCAATCGTGTGGTTAGGATTTTTTTGTGTCTGTGTGTAACTCGCGCAATCGCTCGAGCTTAAAGCCTACTGGTTTAATGTTCTACAAGGATCACACCTTGGCTCGCTGTCGTTGCGAATTTGCCCTGTGTGAGGAACTCGCAATGAACAATCAGTTGGCTACGCATTTTCGGACGTACTTCCAGATGGATGCAGGTGCGTGCTGTTTGGGACAGTAATTTGGAATCAGATGAGAAAGCTTCGTTACCGATCCTCGAGCGCGTAGACGTAAAACTCGAATGTCGACTGGGCGACAGGTGATGCCAGTGCCCTGGCGGGTGCTTTCGGCTTGATGAACCTCTTCGCAAGATCCCTTGGAGGCTATGTGTTGAACTCAAGTCATGTGCGACTGTTAAGCTAGTGCTGTTGCTTTGGAGGCATCAGCAGCGACATTTGCTTCAAGTACTTCGGCTTCCGCGGCCGCATCTCGGACTCACTTGGTCAAATGTTAGGGCTCGGTGCTTGTTGAGTGCAGAAGCGGAAGCTGCGGACTTTTCGACGGGATAAGGCATTTGGGCTCAGTTCCTGGCACTCTTCTTCGAAGCTATCTTCCTGTTCAGCTTCGGAAAGGCCTGGCCCAAGACAAAACTTGGGTGCTTTTCCTGCCAGCAAGCAGATCATGATGATGATGATGATGATAATGATGATGATGGTGGTGGTGGTGGTGATGACTCAGGTGGACAATTCGCAGCCTTGGTACGTGGCCTTGGCAGTTTTGGTTTGTTTCTCGCTCTTTGTGCAGATGGCTGAGGCGGGCCCTGCTCAGCAAACCGTGAAGTATGCTGGTATAAGCTATAAGATGATGTTATACAATATACGACAATACAATACATAAAATGTAACAAAGCATATTTGTCGCGGGATACGCCTTCCCGACTAGCCTCTGAGGGCACCTCCTACGGAATCGTGCCCTTCATGAACAGGAAGCTTGGATCAGTGGACGATTATAGTTGCCACCTACGGTCATGGTTTAGGGTTCAGGGTTTGGCAACAACTCATCTTCGTAGAAGTAGTTCTTTGTAGGAGGTGGCGACATGCACACATCAGGAAGCAGCTCGCAGTGGTGTCCGCGCTTGTGGGTGCCGGTGGAAACCTCGGGGCAGTGACACTTGGCGGCAGGCATTCTTGTAAAGGAACGGACTGAGGGGCCTTCTGAGGATTGATCATGTTGCTATCTCCCAGATGAGGCCTTCTCTATCTTTCAAGAAGATTGACTGCCCTCGCGTCTCCCCGAAGTATACGGGTCAGCATGATCAAGCATACTGGAGCCCAGGATTGCAGGCTTCTGCTTCTACAAGCCGATCCAGGATGCCCTGCTGCCTTTCCAGGCAGGGTCGAAGTTCAAGGCTGCTGTTCGTCTTGAGGGGTGCTCCAGGGTTGCCGGTAGATGTTGAGCCTACATGTGAGTGGCGCAAGCGGAGCCACGCCACGCAGGGTCACTTGTGTCCTGGTGCAGTCTCGAATGGCCTTTGGACCCACGCACAAGTGTCATGTCCCTCTTCTCCTTGTTCAACCCAGACTCTTATGAATCGTTACTCCGTGCGCTTAAGCTGCAGCTGGGCCTTCCTTGAACAGGTCCATGCGGGCTATGTCATGTTTTGGGCGCTGCTGAGCCCCTGCTACTACTGGTCCGAGATGGGTGGAATGTTTCACGGACCGGCACAGAGCGTCGAGAAGGCCAAGGGCCTCAAGACCAAAGCGGATCCGTCGGTTCTCTGTCGAGTTGAAGATTGGCTCGCAACATACCTAAGAAGCTTCGTAGTGGTGGGTTCGGGGTATGTGGAGATTGTGCACAATTTTCTTCTTGCAAGCCGGTGGGCTGTCAGGGTTGAGTGGGCA